TGGAGGCTGTGTTCCTTTTTTCATGTGCTTTGGATGGCACTTTGTGTGTTTATATTAACTATATTGATTTTAATCACACTTCTCTTACTAGACTCAGATGTGGGAAGAGAAATATAACATTTTGGTCGGCACTTAAGTGCAGATTTTGCTTGAGAAACTCATGGAGATGGTTTCTGGTCCATTACTAGCTCCATTCACATAGCAATAGCACGTAGACTTATATACTGCTTTATAGTGCTTTATAGCACTAAGTGGTTTTCAGAGTCAGCATATTGCCCCCAACAATCTGGCTCCTCATTTTACTGACCTTGAAAGTATGGAAGTCTGAGTCAACCTTGAGCTGGTCAGGATCAAACTCCTGGCAGTGGGCAGAATTAGCTTCCAATACCTTTTAATAATAATAATAAAGTTGGAAAGGAGCTTGGAGGTCATCTAGTCCAACCCCCTGCTCAGGCAGGAAACCCTATACTATTACAAATGGCTGTCCAGTCTCTTCTTAACAACTTCCAGTGTTGGAGCATTCACCGCTTCTGGAGGCAGGTTGTTCCACTGGTTAATTGTTCTAACTGTCAGGAAGTTTCTCCTTAGTTCTAGGTTGCTTTTCTCCTTGATTAGTTTCCATCCGTTGCTTCTTGTCCTGCCTTCAGGCGCCTTGGAGAATAGCTTGACTCCCTCTTCTTTGTGGCAGCCCCTGAGATACTGGAACACTGCTATCATGTCACCCCTAGTCCTTCTTTTCATTAAACTAGACATACCCAATTCCAGCAACCTTTCCTTATATGCTTTAGCCTCCAGTCACCTAATCATCTTTGTTGCTCTTCTCTGTACTCTTTCTACAGTCTCAACATCTTTTTTACATCGTGGTGACCAAAACTGGATGCAATATTCCAAATGTGGCCTTACCAAGGCCTTGTAAAGTGGTATTAATACTTCACGTGATCTTGATTCTATCCCTCTGTTAATGCAGCCTAACACTGTGTTGGCTTTTTTTGGCAGCTGCAGCACACTGCTGGCTCATATTTAAATGATTGTCCACTAGGACTCCGAGATCCCTCTCACAGTTGCTACTGTAGTACTACTATTACTACTACTACTATAGTACTACTACTACAGTTACTACCTTATTCTAACCACTGCGCCACCAGGACACGTAACAGTTTAAACCATTTCATGATCCAATGAAGTGGTATTTGGATAATTATAGCAGTCGTTTTAACAAAAAAATAGTTTCCAAAACTGACCATGTTTTGATTCGGTTTTATTTAGCAATTCATAAGTACATGGTTTTGAGAAAAGCTGTTAAGATCAGGTAAATGTTACAAATTTAAGCGCTTAATTCCACAGAGCTCTCCCATCAGGATAGATAATAGAATACAATTACAATAATTATATCGCCTATAATAAACCAGGAAAGTCCCCTGAACTTTGTTTTGTCGAAACAGTGTGGAGGAAGAAGTGGGATAATAGGTTTCATAGAACGAAAGGGATCCTGGAGGTCATCTAGTCCAGCCCCCGACTAGTACTGAAATAACACTGGATTAACACAGTGGTATAAAGACGGGTTGCTAAATGTCCCCAGCATTCTTGAGATGGACAGGAAATATGTAGAGGCACACTTTTCAGAGCCAAATAAGTTGAGTCTTATGCCATTAAGTTGTTAAGATTTTCTCCCTCACTGATCCCCCCAATCTGGTTTTTCAGGTCTGCTTCTCCCTGATGGCAAGAATATATTTTTCCTGTTAGAGAAATTGATCCAAAGCCAACTCTCCTAAATCCTTTTTCTTAAGACCGTGGGATCCGGTGACAGAACATCTTCAAATTCTTTGAGGACCACAGCAGTTCTAGAAACACGTTTCTGGTGGTTTGGGGGGAAAACCCAGGGTCAAATTTAACCGCTTCTTCCTTCCCACCCCCGTTTTCCTTGCACAACTGTTGGTGCAAGAAGAGAACCACATTGGCTGCCTTGAGCACTAGGGAAATGAAGAAATGGATGGACTGTAAGACAGGGAGGGAACAGGATAGGTTCCCCAACCTTTGGGAATGCTAGAAAGCAGGCTGAAATATTACTTAGAATTTACCAAATCGCGTTGCTGCATTAGAAGAGACGTTCCCTTCCGAGTTGGGTTTACGGCAGTGGTTCTCAACCTGTGGGTCGGGACCCCATTTGGGGTCAATCGACCATTTCACGGGGGTCGCCAAGCAAGGCTGTCCGCCATTTTTTTTGTCCGCCATTTTTTCCCCCTTTTCCGGCGGGTGCCTTACCTCCCTTGGGCTGGGCCAGCTGGTGGTCGGCCTGCTCCGTCGCTGCCGCTTGCCAGCTACGCCTCGGCCGGCGCAGGGGGCGGAACCACGCATGCACAGTGCTCCCGGGCAGGGAAAGTCCTCGACTTATGACCGGTTGGGTAGTCCTCGACTTACGACCGGTTTAGTCCTCGACTTACAACCGGTTGGGGTTACGGCATTAAAAAGGTTGAGAACCACTGGTTTACGGGATCACAGCCTCTGCCTCTTAATCAGGCAGTGGAAGAGCCCTTCTCTCTCCCCCCCACCCCCAAATAGTGAGGTCTCTCTCAGTGGAGATCTTTAGAGGCTGGGTAGTCAACCGTCAGAGATGTTCCAACAGAGCTTGGAGCAAGGGGATCGGACTAAATGACCTCCGAGGTCCCTTTCAACTCTATGGTTTGGATTAAAATTCATTTCTGTCCAGGACGGTTAAAAGGATCTCAGATCAAGGTTGGCTTCACATGGAATATCAGAATGCTGTCAGACCAAGAAAGCAAGGAATTCCCTCAACCATTTCCAAACAGAAAGTGCCTTTCAGCCAGTCCTTTTTCTTTCTCTCCATGTCTGGCCTACCCTGACAGGGATGTTGTGGGGGGCAGGGGTAGGCCACCTTGGCTCTTTTATGACTCGTGGACTTCAACTCCCAGAATTCCTGAGCCAGCATGCTGAGGGGAAAGGGAGAGGTTTCCAAGCTGAGCCATGCTGGCTCAGGAATTCTGGGAGTTGAAGTCCGCGAGTCATAAAAGAGCCGAGGTTACCTACCCCTGTTGTGGGGGATTTTAAGAAAAAAAAAAAAAGAAGCAGGAGAAATGTGTGCCTTGTTTTGGTCTCCTCAGGAAGATGGTGGGATATATACATATATGTAATCCACAAAGGTTTATTCCATGTTTTGAACCAAGTTCCTCACTCTCAGCAAAAAAAATCCAGCAATCGCCTCTGGATTCTTCTTTCAAGATCATAAGGAGGATTTTTCAAATGATCTCCCGCCCACAGAACTCCCCTTAAGAACAAAGCAACACCTAGTTAATTAAAGCCCTTTTAACATGCATCGCTCCAACTTTAGATTGCATAACAATGGGTTGTGTTGTTGTTTTTTAATCCTCTAGGATTGCAAAATGGCTTCTGCGCCAATCCAGTCTCATCCTTTGCCATAAATATATGATATATAACCTTGCAAGAAGAGGCAAAAATTATAGTTTGCCCGCTTTCACAACCAACAAAAGATTTTGAATTACCCATCAAAAACAAAAACACACAAAAAAGGAAAAAAATATGCATACTGTGGAAACAGATTCTGAAGAGATTTGGGGCATTAAGAGCAGTGGTGGGATTCAGCCAGTTCACACAACAATTTTTTGTTGACTTCGGCAAACTGGCTGAAGCCTTAGCCCAGTGATGGCAAACCTTTTAGAGACCGAGTGCCCAAACTGCAACCCAAAACTCACTTATGCATCGTCAGGTGGCCCATTGGGTGGGTGTGGCCCATTGGGTGGGCGTGGCTGCGGTGGTAATGGCAGACTGGGTGGGGAATTAAAAAGTTCAATCAATCAATTCCAACTTTGCAAGATCTTTTTTTTTCCCCGCGAGAAGTTGAAATTGACTGATTGATTGAACCTTTTTTAGGCGGAGGCCTAAAGGGAAAAGATTTTATAAAACCCAGCTGAAGGCCTAGGACTGGGGCGACAGTGCGCGTGCCTACATAGAGGGCTCTGAGTTCCGCCTCTGGCACCTGTGCCATAGGTTCACCACCACTGCCCTAGCCCTTTTTCACAAGGCCCAGAATGGACCACAGGAAGTGCACGGACGCCACCTCCGGAAGTCGGTTCTGAGCCGGGAAGGCCCCCCAGACCCAGACCGGCCTACCGGAAGTGCGTGGATGCCACCTTTGGAAATCTGTTCTGAGCCGGGGAGGCCTCTCAGGCCCAGAACGGCCCACCGGAAGTGTGTGGATGCCACCTTCGGAAATCTGTTCTGAGCCGGGGAGGCCTCCCAGTTGCAGAACAGCCCATCGGAAGTGCGTGGACGCCACCTCCGGAAGTCCGTTCTGAGCCAGGGAGACCCTCCAGACCCAGAACGACCCACCGGAAGTGCGTGGATGCCACCTCCGGAAGTCTGTTCTGAGCTGGGGAGACCTCCCAGGCCCAGAACAGCCCACTGGAAGTGCGTGGATGCTATTTCCGGAAGTCTGAATGGTAGGATGGCTGCTTCTGAAGGCCATCTTCTGGGAGACCTGAGGGCTTCCTTGGGCAGGCAAGATGGGCCTGGGGTCCGATCCAGCAGGGCATTGCTTAGAATCTTATAAACCTCTATAACATATAATACACTGTCCTTGACTATCGTTTTCCAATTCTGTTTGTCCGTGTATGTAACAAATGAAGAAGTCCCAAAGGTGCTTTTTTCCGAAAGGCAACCGGACTTTTTTTTTTTTTTCCCTTGAAAACGTTCCGCTTCTTACGTTCTGAAGCTTCTTGGATGAGAAGCGAAACGTTTTCAAGGGAAAAAAAACCAAGAAAATCTGGTTATGTTTAAAAAAAAACAGCTTTCAGACAACCGTGACCTTTTGAGGATCTCCAAAGACAACAATGAAGAAGCTTCTGACACACAGCGATTATTTGACACGAAGCAAGAGTCTGCCATCTTTTCCTTTTTGTCCCCCCTCGCAACCGAAGCCTGTTGCCGAGAGGCCCTGTTGCGCCAAGTGCCCTTCAAACCCCGGGTCAGATGATTTCCGCGGCGTGGATCCTCTGATGCGAGACCAGCGAGTCGCCCCGCGAGAACTGTTTCCCGCACACAGGACACTCGTACGGCTTCTCCCCGGTGTGGATGCGCTGATGGGAGGTGAGGTTGCTGCTTTGGCTGAAGGCTCGCCCGCACTCCAGGCAGGTGTATGGCTTTTCCCCGGTGTGGGTCCTCTGGTGCAGAGTGAGGTGTGCACTCCGGCTGAAACTCTTCCCGCACTCGAGACACAGGTACGGCTTCTCCCCCGTGTGCATCCTCAGGTGCGAGGCGAGGTTCCCGCTGAAGCTGAACCTCTTGCCGCAGTCCAGGCACTTGTAGGGCTTGTCTCCCGTGTGAGTCCGCTCGTGGGACAGCAGGTGCTTTCGACAAGTGAAGGTCTTCTCGCACTGCAGGCAGCGGTAGCGGGCCTTGCGGGCGTGGATTTTCTGGTGCCTGGTGAGGTGCGTGCTCCGGCGGAAGCTCTTGCCGCACTCGGCACAGGTGTGCGGCCTCTCGTTCGTGTGCTTGGCCTGCTTGTGTTGGGCGAGCTTGGCCTCGTCGCCGAAGCTCTTGCCGCAACGGAAACACTTGTAGAGTTTCTCGGCCAGGTGGACCTTTTTGTGGGAAATCAGCCGGGTGCTTCGGTAGAAGCCCTTGCCGCACTCGGAGCACTTGTACGGCTTCTCCCCCCGGTGAAGCTTTTGGTGTAAAATCAGGTAATCTCCTCGGCTGAAGCTTTTCCCACACTCGAAGCACCGGAAGGGCTTCTCGCCCGTGTGAGTCCTCTGGTGTCTGGTGAGGTCCGACTTGCAACTGAAGGTCTTTCCGCACAGGGCGCACTTGTTGGGACTCGTCCCTTCGGCATTGGGATGCTCGAGTATCGTTACGGATATCTCTGCAGGCTCCTCCTTAATCTGGATGGTTTCTGCTGGAACACGGGAAAAATATTTCTTAGAGGAGCCTGGAAAGGGCTGGGCTTTTGGCCCTGTCAGATGACTGGACGAAGGAACCAACCCCATGCAAGCCAGGACTACCGTTAAAGTAACAAGAATTCTCTTAAAGCAGGGGTGTTTGACATATCTGCCTTAAAGGATAATATTTGTAGCACAGAGTTGGAAGGAGGGGTCCTTGGTGCTCTCTGGTTTTCTTGCAGATATTTTGCTTTCCTCATCACTGCTAGCATTGATGATGTTACTCAGACGGGCAAGGAAACGTCTGCAAGAAAACAGCCAAGCTCAGAGAACACCAAGAACCCTCACTAACATAATCTGTCAAGTCTGACTGAACTTCTCTCTTCCTGTCCTTTAGCTTTTTAAGAACTAGGGAGGGGCTTAACCAAAATGTTTTCCTCAAATTACTTTCTTGGCCAGGGTTCAAGTCCTTATTTGACCACTACCTCCTCCTCCTCCTCCTCCTCCTGTCCTTCATGGCCATTTCCTCTATGGTAGTCCTTGAGTGACAACCAAGGGGAATTAGGATCTGGATTCAAAGTTCTGACAGTCAGCCCCCACCCTCCCCAAATCACATGGTCAAATTTCGGGCATTTATAGTCCACACTTGCAGGTTTTGGCAAAAGTGCACCTATAGCGGTGGTGGCGAACCTATGGCACGGGTGCCAGAGGCGGCACTCGGAGCCCTCTCTGCGGGCACGCACGCCGTTGCCCCAGCCCTGCCTTCCCCCACGGCCCCCTCCTCACCAGCAGCCCCCCTGGAGGAGAGTCGCCCCCGGGCAACAGGGACAAGACTCCGCTCTCACACCCCATAGCATGCAGATGATGCTGCGGGGTGTGGGCAGAGGGCATGGCTGCCATGGGGCTGCAGGGCTGACTGGCGATCTGCTGCAGCAGGCCATGGAGGCAGTGCGCGGCCCTGCAGGCGGGTGGGGCTGGGGTGGGTGAGGGCGGAGCAGGCAGGGCGGGAAGCGGAGTGGGGGTGAGGGGGGTGGTTTGGGGGCATCCGATCTCTAAATGGTTCGCCATCACTGACCTATAGTGAACTATTGGTTTACTTAACGACTGTGGTGTTGGCTTAATGACTGCTACAGCCATTTTACAGCCCAGGATTTGTTTAACAACCATTGCAAGAAAGGTAATAAAAGTGGGTTTGTCGTGACTGTTGCAACCTACGGCCATAACGGGCAGGCTCCCTTCACAGAAACTCTCAAGCAAAAGATTTGATGGCTAAGCCACCTTGCAGAACTATGGCTGGAACTGCAGACATCTCATCCCACATCGTGATCAGTTCCACAACCGTACTCGAGTACCTTGGAAAAGAGAGCTGATCTCTTCAAGATGCTCACAGGAGGGTGGATATTACACTCACCCACTTCCACCGGAGGAAAAATATTGTCTTGCGTATTCTCTGGCGAACGTTTCAGCTGATGCTCCGAAGTGAAGCTTTCGGGGAAGGAACCTCCCTCTGTGGTTGATCCTGCCGTCCAGTCTTCTTCAGGCAGGAAAAAAATAAATAAATGTAAAACGTTTTAAGCTTATCTTTCCCCGAACAGGGTTAAGCATAATTAAACGTAATGAGGGAAACAACTTTCTAATCACTTGGCGAAAGTCTAAAATAGCAACCGAGTTTCCAACTGAACGCATTAATAATAATAATAATAATAATAATAATAATAATAATAATAATAATAATAATAATAATAATAATAATAATAATAATTTTAATTTATATACCGCCCTTCTCCCATAGGACTCAGGGCGGTTCACAGCATATTTAAAAACAGATACTATACACAAATACAAAAATACAAAAACACCAAAAACACCATTAGGGCTGTCTAATGTGGTTTGATAAGTAAATAAATAAAAAGAGCAGGTATGGTACTTAAATGCCAATTTATCAATACAGCTTAGGCGTGAGGAAGCTTATTAAATCCATACTAGATTTGCCCAACATGCTTAATCAGGCTTTTTCTCTATTATACAGCCATTCAGGTGATGGTCTTGGCCTAGAACGGGGGTAGGGAATTCCTGAACCAGCATGGGGAAGGATGGCCCTTTTATGATTTGTGGACTTCAACTCCCAGAATTCCTGAGCCACCATGAGGAAATATGGCCCTTTTATGACTTGTGGACTTCAACTCCCAGATTTCCTGAGCCAGCATGGTTAATGATGGCCCTTTCATGACTTGTGGGCTTCAACTCCCAGAATTCCTGAGCTAGCATGGGGACCGATGGCCCTTTTTGACTTGTGGACTTCAACTCCCAGAATTCCTGAGCCAGCATGGGGAATGATGGCCCTTTTATGACTTGTGGACTTCAACTCCCAGATTTCCTGAGCCAGCATGGTTAATGATGGCCCTTTCATGACTTGTGGGCTTCAACTCCCAGAATTCCTGAGCCAGCATGGGGAATGATGGCCCTTTTATGACTTGTGGACTTCAACTCCCAGAATTCCTGAGCCACCATTAGGAAAAATGGCCCTTTTATGACTTGTGGACTTCAACTCCCAGAATTCCTGAGCCACCATGAGGAAAGATAGCCCTTTTATGACTTGTGGACTTCAATTCCCAGAATTCCTGAGCCACCATGAGGAAAGATAGCCCTTTTATCACTTGTGGACTTCAACTCCCAGCCAGCTCAGGAATTCTGGGAGTTGAAGTCCTCAAGTCATTAAAGGGGCCATCGTTCCACACTTCTGGCCTAGAAAAATCCATCTTCAGATTCTGCTTCTGCACTCTGCCTCTTGGGCCGGTCATTTTTGTCATGGCCCATCTTGCTTCACAGGTTTGTCAATATTGCAGGAAGAACATTTGGGCAACCCCTCTCTTTGAGGCCTCAGAAAAAAAAAATAAGCTACACCTTCAATACAGGTAGTCCCGACTTAATGATCTTTCTTTTAACAACCGTTCTAATGTATGACGATACTGAAAAAAGTGGGGTTGCCACCCCTCCTTACACTTATGACTCCCACAGCGTTACCACGGTCACATGATGAAAATTTAGACGCTTGGAAACTGGCCTGTATTTTACGACCGTTGCAGTATCCCACGGTCATGTGGTCACCATTTATTACAGGGCTTTTCAACCAGTGATACGGGTACCACCTGTGGTACATTGGCACCTGGCAGGTGGTACGCGACCATCCTAGACAAGTGGTAGTGGGGGAGGGGAATGAGTTGAACTGGTGGCAGCACCGCACAAGCCTGAGTGAGAGATGGCTGGAGCTGCAGGGCTGTCAGGGCTCAGTGGAAGCGCCAGGATCAGTGCCGCTTTCCAGCTGATCGGCGCTTCTTCGGGACTGTCAGGGCTCAGCGGAAGCACCAGGATCAGCACAGAGCTCCAGTTGGAGCCTGGCGCTGCTCCAACTGGAGCTCTGTGCTGATCCTGGTGCTTCCGCTGAGCCCAGAAGAAGCGCCGATCAGCTGGAATGTTGCAGCATCCCCAGGGTCTTATGATTTACATTCAGATGCTTGGCAACTGATTCATATTTATGACGGTCACAGTGTCCCAGGGTCATGTGAAGTGACCAAAACCTGCTGCAACCACCCAGCAGACGGGTGGAATAAAAACCAAACACCCCCCCCACCCCACTTCCACTGCCAATCCTCAACATAAATGCTCACAACAATGGAAACCTCGGACAGGAGGAAGAGCACCGCACTGGGCAGGCAGGCAGGTGTCTTGCTCGGCTGTGGCTTAGGGGGCACTTTTTTCAGTGCCATTGTAACTTCGAACAGTCACTAAGCGAACTGTTGTAAGTCGAGGACTACCTGTACTTTATCACTTTTTTCCTTTTTTGGGGGGGGTCATCAAGTTTTTGACACCTTGCTAGGCAACTGGTGGTACTCGGATGTTGCCATATCCTAAAAGTGGTACAATGGGTGAAAAGGTTGAAAAGCCCTGATTTATTACCTTCACAGGAGATTTCTGACAAGCAACCTCAGTGGGAGTAGCTGGATTTGCCTATCGGTTACACCGTTCACTTAACAACTCCACTGCTTAGCAATAGGCATTCCAATCTCAGTTTTGGTCGTAAGTAGAGGACTATCTGCACATACTACTCATGAGGTAAAAACCTGCCCCCTTCTTTCCTGTATCTGCAAGTCTGTCTCAAGACACTGTGAATGAACTTGTGATGTGCCCAGAATGAACATCCCACCTGCCCAGAATTCATATTGAACACTGTTGTGTTGTCAAGGGAAATGGATCCCGGCACCCACAAGGGAGCGACGGCAGTGGTGGGATTCAAATAGGTGAACAACCGGTTCTCTGTGTGGATGCCGCTTCCGGAAGTCCATTCTGGGCCTGGGCAACAAAAAATTAGCTACCGGTTCTGCCGAACTGGTGCGAACTGGTTGAATCCTACCATTGAGCAATGGCTATGGTAAGCCTGGCCTAGAAAGGAATTTCAGGGCATCCAAGACCCCCTCGGTTCTCCCTCCACCCCCCGAGCCCCCCAACCCGTGATATTCCTCTTTACCTGATGGATTGGCCTCTTCGCTGTCGTCTTCCTCCTTAACGATCACGCGCAGCAGCCCCAACTCAGAGTCCCAGAAAGACTGGGTGACACCAGGGCGGTTTGGATTCCTGGACTCCTACAAGCACCGAGAAAGTCAGCCAGATGTGAAGACCTCAACCTGCCTTGCACCCTCCACTTAACTTCAGGATGGGGCAACTTTATTTTTGGGAACAGGGAAACTGCCTTATTATTTTTGGCCACACAAAGGAGGACGCAATGATTTGGTGGTGCGCAGGTAGTCCTCGACTCACTGAGTGACCGTTCGAAGTTACGATGGCACCGCAAAAAGTGACTTCACACTTAGAACCACAGCAGCATCCCCCACGGTCACGTGATTTCCATTCGGATGCTTGACAACTGGCTCACCTTTATGACCGTTGCCGTGTCCCGTGCCCCTTTGGTGACTGTTTCACAAGCAAAGTAAAAGCCAGACTCACTTAACAACTGGGTTACTAATTATAACAACTGCAATGATTCACTTAGCACAGGGGTAGGCAACCTTGGCTCTTTTATGACTCGTGGACTTCAACTCCCAGAATTCCTGAGCCAGCATGGCTCAGGTTGGAAACCTCTCCCTTTCCCCTCAGCATAGCTGGTTCAGGAATTCTGGGAGTTGAAGTCCACGAGTCATAAAAGAGCCAAGGTGGCTTACCCCTGACTTAGCACATCTGGCAAGAAAAGTCGTAAAATGGGGCAAGGCTCACTTAACCAATTTCTCACTTAGCCACATACATTTTGGGCTCAATTGTGGTCGTTAAATCGAGGACCACCTGTAATTGGAGCAAGAGGGTAGAGATTTTGGGAGCCGGTTTGGAGGTTGGAAGTGAAGCCGGGTCGGATCTGGTTAGCAATTGGATGGGGGATCCTGGGAATCCACAGCTGTGGGATGTGAAAAGAGATCTCAGAAAAAAGTCAACGAGAAACTCCTGAAAAACCGCACAAATGCAAGACTGATCTTTACTCAAGAACATATTTAACGTATTTTTTTTTAAAGGGGAAAGATATTTTTAGGTCTGCCAGGGGTGTGTGTGTAAAAACTGAGGGATCGGATTAGGACAGGGAAGACCCAGGTTTACTTCTCCTCTCAGCCACAGATTTCGGCCACTTTTAATCTAGCCTACCTCACAAGGTTGTTGTGTGGGGGGAAACGGGAAGAGGGAGCGTTCTGAATGGTGCCTTGAATAAACAAAGACCGGTACTCAACTTAAAAAATTAGCACAGAAGCTTGAAGAAAAGCCAGCTGAGTGCGATTATTACCATTTTCTGTTCTTTTGCCGATTCCTGAAAATGGATATGCGGCAATTCCCAGTTAGGATTCATCTTTCTGCTTCAGTCGTGAAGGCTTCACTTCCAAGAATCCCCACCAAGGTTGACTGGATTTACTTTTGGCTTGGTGAACAAACCACCGCAACCTAGATGATGGAGTAGAAAGTTAGCTCGTTAGAATAAAGTCTACAATAAGAGCAATCTGCAAACTCACTTGTTTTAAGTTCGTTATGGAAAATTTTAGAATTATTGGAATGGTGGAGTTGGAAGGGACCACTAAGATCATGTGAACCCAGTGTTTTTCAACCTCGGCCATTTTAAGGTATGGGGACTTCAACTCCCAGAATTCCCCAACCAGCCTATCACTCCAACCCTCTGCAACCGGGGGGGGGGGGGGAGGAAAATCAGTCAAACCATCCTCCAGGGGTAGGCCACCTTGGCACTTTTATGACTCATGGACTTCAACTCCCAGAATTCCTGAACCAGCCTGGCTCAGCTTGGAAACCTCTCCCTTTCCCCTCAGCGTGGCTGGCTCGGGAATTCTGGGAGTTGCAGTCCACGAGTCATAAAAGAGCCAAGGTGGCCTACCCCTGCTCCAGACCATATAGCCTCTTCTTAAAACCCCCCAGCAGTGGAGAACTCACAGGACTTCAAATAATAGTGTCCTGGGGATCCTGCCTTTTGCGGCCTTCGGATAAGCAAAGCCAATGAGGAAGCCAGATTCAGTTAAAAATGTGTTATTAACTTAACAGCTCAGTGATTCACTTAACAACCATGGCAGGGAAGGTCATAAAATGGGACAAAATTCATTTAATAAATGTCTCAGTTAGCAACAGAAATTGTGGTCCTAAGTTGAGGACTGTCTGTAGTAAAACAGACTAGCACGTAGGGAGCAGTGTGTGTGTGTGGAGTCTGCTGTCAATCTAGCAGCCATGGTCCAGAATAAATAATAATAATAATAATACAGTTGAAAGGGACCTTGGAGGTCATCGAGTCCAACCCCCTGCTCAGGCAGGAAACCCTACACCATTTCGGACAAATGGCTGTCCAGTCTCTTCTTAAAAACTTCCAGTGTTGGAGCATTCACCGCTTCTGGAGGCAGGTTGTTCCACTGGTTAATTGTTAATTGTTCTGTCAGGAACTCCCCCACTGGGTCCCCAGGCCAATTTGCAGAGTCAGATCTTATATGGAAGGATTTTGCACTTTTTAAATTCATTCTCCCCCTTTTTAACCCAAAAGTTCTTCGGATCCTTTTTGACCCAAATCTGGACAATCCTCACCAATGGGGTACTGGCATTTGCGCATCTAATGGAATCTTCCACCCCCCTCAGTTAAATCCCAAGCAAAGCCAGCTGGAGAGGGGGGGTCTTTGTCTGATCGGGGTACAGCAGGGGTCCTCAACCCCAGGTCCGTGGATCAGCACCGGGCCCTGGCATGCCAGCAATTGGCCCACGCAAACAAGCAAAACCCCCCAAACTTGGGGACCTCTTGGCTACAGAGAAGAAGAGGATGCAACGCCTTGGATAATGCGCAGGATGAAAAGTGGCTCCCTCCAAAGAAGCTGAAAAGCAGGAGGGAGAAAGGTATGGGTCAACAGGAGAACGCTGCGCGAGTATGTGAGCGTCTGTGCCTATGTACATCAATCAATCAATCAATCAGAATAGAGCTGGAAGGGACCTTGGTGGTCTTCTAGTCCAGTGATGGCGAACCTTTTAGAGACCGAGTGCCCAAACTGCGACCCAAAAGCCACTTATGCATCGTCGGGTGCCAGGTAGGTGTGGCCCATTGGGTGGGTGTGGCTGTGGTAACAGCAGACTGGGTGGGACTAAAAAGTTCAATCAATCCATTCCAACTATGCAAGATCTTTTTTTTCCAGGAGAAGTTGAAATTGATTGATTGAACCTTTAGGCCTCTGGGCACGCGCACCCGGAGGCCTAAAGCGAAAAGGTTTTATAAAAACCAGCTGAAGGCCTGGGCCTGGGGCGACAGTGCGCGTGCCCACACAGAGGGCCCCGAGTGCCACCTTTGGCACCCATGCCATAGGTTCGCCACCACTGTTCTAGTCCAAGCCACTGCTCAAGAAGGATTTGCACATGTGTGAGCCTCTGTACCTATGTATATCAATCAATCAATCAATCAATCAATCAATCAGAATAGAGCTGGAAGGGACCTTGGTGGTCTTCTAGTCCAATCCCCTGCTCAAGGAGAAGACCCTACTATTCCAAACAAGTGGCTGTCCAGTCTCTTCTTTAAAACCTCCAGTGATGGAGCACCCACAATTTCTGAAGGCAAAGCCGTTCCACTGGTTAATTGTCTTCACTGATAGGAAGTTTCTCCTTTATTCCAGGTTGCTTCTCTCCTTGATTAGTTTCCATCCATCCTTTCTTGTCTTGTCTTCTGGTGCTTTGGAAAATAAGTCGACCCCCTCCTCTTTGTGGCAGCCCCTCAAATACTGGAACACTGCTATCATGTCGTCCCCCCCTAGTCAAACCCAAATCCTGCAGCCATTCTTCCTATGTTTTTTAGCCTCCAGGCCTTTAATCACCTTAATTGCTCTTCTTTGCACTTTTTCCTCAAAGTCTCAACATCCTTTTTTTTTTTGCAACGCGGTGACCAAAACTGGATGCAAGTATATTCCAGGTGTGGCCCTTCCTAAGGCTTGCACTTACACGTGTGCGCGCGCGTGTGTACTGCATGTGCAGGCATGCCATTTCAGCCAGGCATTTGCTGCCCTCCGACGCCCATCCTCCCTACCCTTCCAACGGATCCCCTCCTGTTTGGACCGAGCCGACGGGCGTCGCACTCACAGCGGACACTCCAAGAACCGGGAATCGGAGCAGCGNTGGCCCTTCCTAAGGCTTGCACTTACACGTGTGCGCGCGCGTGTGTACTGCATGTGCAGGCATGCCATTTCAGCCAGGCATTTGCTGCCCTCCGACGCCCATCCTCCCTACCCTTCCAACGGATCCCCTCCTGTTTGGACCGAGCCGACGGGCGTCGCACTCACAGCGGACACTCCAAGAACCGGGAATCGGAGCAGCGGGTCGAGGGAGGCCGGACGGGTGCAACGGGTTAAGCTTTGCAAAGCCGCAGCCAGCCGGGAACCCGACCCGGGAATGGTAGGGGGGAGGGTGGAATTGCGGAGTGGGGGGGCACTTCTCTCCCCTTTTCCCCGGGCGGCTCTTCTTACCTCCTTCCTTCCCTCCCACCGCTGTCAAGTCGGGCCGCTCACCTGGCGCGCGCGCCGCGCTCGGGCTCCGCTTCGCTTTTCCGCGCGGAGAAAACAGGAGAAGAAAAAAAAAAAAAAAGTCCTTGTCTTCGCGAGGGTGCGCGCGCGCACGCTCGCTTTCCCCCCCCACCAGCCGCCGCCGCCGTCTGTTCTAGGCAGCCGAACTTGTCTGCTTTAACCCCTCCGCGTCCCTTTTCCCTGGAGAAGGACGGGGCTTGCTTGGGATAATGGAGCCTCAGCGGGGCAGAGCGGGCCCGTAAAGTCGCCCTGCTCCTTGAGGAGGGAGGAAGAGGGAGAGGCGGGGGAGCGGGAGCCCCCAGGAAACGGAGCAGCTGCCCCAAAGAAGGCCCTTTTCGTTCATAAGCGGGAGGGGAAACGGTGCCAAGGAGAGAAGCCATAGAAGTAGGGATAGGGAACGATGGCCCTTTTATGCCTTGTGGACTTCAACTCCCAGAATTCCTGAGCCAGCCAGGCTGGCTCAGGAATTCTGGGAGTTGAAGTCCACAAGCCCTAAAAGGGCCGTCTTTCCTCATGCTGGCTCAGGAATTCTGGGAGTTGAAGTCCACAAGTCATAAAAGGGC